GAGGAAGAGGCTCCTGGGGGACTTTTAGGATGTATTTTGGGGAAATGCTCTACTGGTGTGAGGACCTCTCTAAGCAAAAAATCCCAAAGGCAGATGTGACCTGTCGTGTGATCCACCTGGATGCTTTCAATTATGAGAGTCTCTCCAAGGACAGGAGCAAAACAAACCTCTTCCATCCCTGCAGCTTGTCAGCTCTCCTTCTCCCTCTAGGAAAACAAAAAGGTGCAAATAGCTGTTTGGTTTTCAGTCTTCCTCCGGGTGACCTTCCTTCAGCTCAGTGTTTGGGATGCTTCAGGGACAGGTTCCTTGTTTGCTTTATAATTTCCACAAGATAACGGTGCGAGGCAGCACCTCAGCACCGAAGGAAGTGTTTGTTTTGGATGCTGCTAGTTCTGTCCTGTCCTTGATAGTGCAACTGCAGCCTTGAAAACAGGAGCAAAGCATCGTGCAACATGGTGAATAATCTTTGTATTTAAGTAGACTCTATAAACTTGGCAAAAGCTACTTCCACAGAGTCTTGCTCTGTGAGAAGTGCAGTAGGGGTTTTAGTTCTTTCTGGGTTAACATTCATGAGATTGTGTTCGTGCTTTTCATCACAGCACAAAATCTCTGTGGGCATCTGTTATTCCGTTGTATTCACTTTTATATCGATGCAAGTCAGTGCGTAACACCTGAAAAAAGGATCATTGCTTGAAATGTAGACCTTGGGCGAAGTTTATATAGTCAGATTGCTTTAAAGAATCATACAAATCTTGAAGTATTTGTGAATATTCTTGAAATATATGTTACTTCTTTTTTATTGTTTTTCAACCCATAGGAAAGACATAATATAGATCCACTGAAAGGTGATGCCTCACCTTCCCCTGCTTTGGGTGCACCCACCTTTATTTTATCATTTTTGTGGAATTCTGCATTCATCAACTAACTGAAGTCAATTGAAAATGTATTATTTGTTTTGAAACGCCACGGAGTCGTTAAGAAATTTGTTAGGGTGTACATAAGGGATTGTTAGCCGTATTTGTTAGGGTGTACATAAGGGATTGTGATGAATGGACTGTGTTAGTGGTGCCGATAGCGTATCTATCATCGGTTTTTGTGGGCGAAGCGCGGAGCATGTTTCCCTCGTATGAGCCATTTATCTTCTTTAGAGAAACTGGTTGCATAAAAATTAGGCTATAGAAAATGAATTGATACAGAGCTCAACAAATAGCAAAATGCTCTGAAACGTGTTTTTCACCTGAATTTTAACCAAGCCGTGCCTTGCCCTTCATACGCAAGGTGAAGGTGTTCATATCCCTGAGGTCTCCTGCCAGCTGATCCCATCGAAACTTTTTTTTCAAATAAGGGGCATTTCTTGTTTTTCACCCCGACCAGCCTTTACTGGTTGGAACTGGCTCCCAGGTACCTCACCTTTATATCAGTTTGATGTGAAATCCCAGCTGCTAAACTCCATGGGTGCTAAACATGGAATTGAAATGTTTTATGGGCATCCCTGTGCATAAAGCCACTTCTTGTAACGTGTGCTGAGCAATCTTGCAGCCTGTTCAGGGAAACACGACCTATAAATTGTGTTTATCTACTCCCCCCAGCTTCTCACCAAAAAAATGTGATTTATTAATAGTGTTGTTTTTTTCCCCCCACATTCTGCTCTTTGAATATGTTCAAGGTAATTTCAGGCAATGCCAGTCTGAATATTTTGGAGCTAATTGAAAGGCAAATCTGTTCTGCAGTAAACAAAGCAAGAGAAATTTTCCTCCCTGGGTTGTGGTTTCTAAAGAAATTTCATAGCAAATTTTGGCTCAGCTGCTCATCCCGCTCAGCCCCAACCGGATCTCCGGCTCCTGCAGAGAGATCGATGCGTCACACCTCCAGGACCATTTAAAATATTGATTATTCCAATAGGTAGTGTCACATTGCCTGGGATTTTTTTTTTGTTATTATTTTTTAGTTTAGCTTTTGCACCTGCACAAGGCTGTGTGCACTTAGAAAAGGTAACAGGATGGTTGCATCCCAACTGTTCCTTTAGGTGACCATTCACTGGTCTGTTTGGCCAGGTCTCCTGCTCCTGGCAAAATCAACAACCATCCTCTTTGTTTTTCCAGATCAGTGAGTATTTTTTTTCCAGCAACTTTAATTATTTTCTGGTATCTCTCCATTCCTTTTATTGCTGCTTTTCTTTGGTGGCCTCTTCAAAGCAAAACTTTGATGTTTGAGGTTGCTTGAGCTTGATCCTGGCCCCAAGGTTGTTATCTTAGGAAGGTTGAGCAGTATCAGTTGTTCCTCACTCTCCCTCTCTCTCAGCTGTGCAGGTGCAAAGATCATCCTAGTAATGTTTTTTCTCCCTGATCACCTATCTGAATTTTGTAACTTGATAGTGGAAGCTAAGGAGGTCAGAACTGCCTTTAGTCAATGGTCCGTGGGGGTTTCCCAGTTCCAAGAGGTTTGCCCCTGCCCTGTGTTGTGATGATTGTGGTGCTGATGGAAGAGGAAAGCCAGCTTCATGCCCAGCTGGGGCTATTTTAATAACACCCAGCAAGTCCAAGGGCAACACAACCCTCTTGTCCCAACCCCTGCTGCAGCTGCATCCTTTGTCTGTGGGTACCTAGCAGCAGGGAAGGACCTTTCCATGTTTTCTCTTTTACTGAAGATGTTGATATCTAAACAGACACATGAAAACGTGGGGTTTGTTTGTGTTTTAAGTTCATGCCCCAAGCATTAAGCTCCAGTATTTCTACCCAAGAGAGATCTTGGGCTTGCGTAGGCCTGGGGAATCATGTCTCTCCAAGCATCGTGTCTCTCCAAGCAAGGTAATTTGATATGGCTTTAAACCTTAAGTGGCTTAAGCAGCCGCGTTATGTTAAACCTAAATGCTTTAATCACTTCTTTCTGGGGAGATCCTGTAGCAGCGGCTGGGCTTCCCTCACCTTAACGCTGCCGTCTTCATCTGGACCAGCAACGATCCTGCCCAGGGAGCCTCCTGTGGGGCCAGCAGCCTCGTGCCCTGACGAGCCCATTGCACGAATGGCCTCTGCTTTCCAGCGCTGCTCTCCTTCCTCAGCGCCGTCCCGGTAGTGTCTGACCGTTATCTGGTTTCTCTTGCCCATGGCATCAAGGCCCTGCTTGACCACCTGGCCCCAGGGTGGCAGAGCTGATATTGGGCTACTTTGTACAAATGACAGAAGCAGCGTGAGCTCGAGGCTGTCGAATCCCGTTAAATCACTGTGCTGCAGGTGTCTGACTCGTGTTTGGAAGCATCTGTGAAATTTGGCCCATCTCTGCATGGGTGCCCGAGGATGGGTGGGTTGCGTTGCGCTCTGCCCGGCTTGGCCACCTTCCCTCGGTTGTGGCTGCTTCTCTGCCATCTGCTTGTTGCTGCTGCAGCCCGCTAGCACCTGCCAGAGGACTTTTTTTTCCTCTTAATAGCAGCATTTAATACTACCAGCCTCTCAGCTGGCTCTGGCAGATTAATGGCAAAACTTCCTCCTCCTCCTCTCTTCCCCCGGGCTCTGCCACAAATTCAACTCGAGCAACATCTGAGCCAGGTAGGAGGTCCTACCAGCTTTAATTTAGATTTGGGTTAGCATCAGATGTGATCCTACATGCGCAAAGCCAAAGGGCCAAGGCCAGGTGCTAAGCTGGAAATGCACTTACAAAGAACAGCAACTAGGAAAGGAAGAGAGAGCAGTTTTGGCTGAAACTCTCCATGACATGAGCCTGTAGCCTGGGGTAATCGCTGGGTTGATTTGTGCACTTCCTCACCCCAGGAATGGCTCTTTACAGCACGCATGTTTTTTTAGTTACTCTTCTCTTAACTAGTGGTAACTTGGGACTTTTGCTGTCCTCAGTAACAGTCTTCACTTTGATTTTAGATAGAACACTAAGGACTTGTTCTAGTTTTTGCCATTCCTGTACTCTTTGCAAACAGAGTTAAAGGTGCAGGTCCTCCATGAAGGAATTGGATGGCCCTTCCCAGGCCTCCTCTGTTTTTTTCCCTTCTTTCTCTTTATGAACCTTTCCCTTCTACTGTGTTCTTTTAATTAGTATCTTGCTTTTAATCATACTGGTCTTCCTCCCTTGCTGCATTATTCGGGCCAAAGTGAAGCCGTATTCATCATTTCACTTGCAAGAGATTTCTGGTACATCTGCCTTGCCAGGTTCCCAGCTTGCAGGGAATTTCATTAAAAATGAGACGTTTTATAGAGGTATCAATCTTGTGCATGGGAGCTAAAGAGATGGCAGGATGTCTCTGTGGGAAACAGACCTGATATAAGGACCTGTCACAGGCATGATACTGCCTTTTGTGATAACCAGAAAAAAAAAAAAAGGGAAGAATTGGCTGTAGTGGCACAAAGATAAATACATGTGTGGAGCTGCTGGGCTGCAGAGAGGGTTCTGCGAGGTCAAGGCTCATGGACGTCTTTGCTGCGGGAGAGCAGAAATCAAGATCTCTGCAGCCTTCTCCCATCCTTCCCTTGGCATCCACTCTGCAGGTTCCTTTGGACTGGTGGCAGCTGCTCTTTGGCCGTGTTGGTAACGCCGGGTGCTTCAATTAGCAAATCTGCTTCTGAGGGCCCATAACTCACCGCCGTAATTCGGAGAGGGCTGAGGCTCAGCAAATGCAAAACATCATCCAAGCTGCTGCCTTGGCTCTTCAGGGTCCAAAAAATTTCATGTTCGTTTTGAAGATCTCAGCCACAGACTTGCAATGGTGGTTAGTTAGTGAATTTATTCAAATTTCTATATTTGTTGGAAAGTGTAGCTTTTCTGCTGCGCTCTTGCTGCAAGCAAGAGTGGTAACCAGGAGGAAGATGCTCCCAGCACGATGCATGGGCAGGGGAGCTCGCAAGCCCTTTTTCGTGGAGCTTCTGTTGCAAAGTAGGGAAGCACCAATAGGATTCAGTAGGGTTCAAATAGGTTTAAACCAATAGGGTTCAAAGGAAGGCTGAAATGATGTTTGGGTTTGGACAAGGTAGCTCCTTTCAGGGAGCTGTGGAGGGTGGCAGTGAAGAAATAGTGCCCAGGGCACAGGCTGATTCTGGGTGTGCTGTGTTTTCAGGTGGTCCTACCACGACTTCTTCAGTAGATACTGTGTCCTTATGAAGAAGAGAGATATCTCCAAGAATGACAAGAAGCAGATCTGCCAAACCTTGTTGAAAGACCTCATTAAGGTGAGCTGGGACTGACCTTGTAGTGCAAAAGTACATGACTCTGATTTGATCTGAATCACCCTCCCTTCTCCCACTTTACCTGCTGCTTGTGCAGGTGCTGATTAAGTCAAGTCAGCTTCTTCCAAAATACGCCATCTTGATGTGTGGGAGACTTTTAGTCAACTTCCATGCAAAAAAAAAAAAAAATCCTTTGCATGGGACCTTTTCTCCTTATATATGTCAGCAAATCCCTTCCACTTCACCTTGCTGCTCAGACTCGTGTGCACTACTTCTAAATTATGGTTGCACACTCAGAGGTTTCTTCTTGGTCTCTTGCTGCAGAGGAGCCCAAAATGTGCATAGCACTGGAGTCAAATTTTTATCTCTGGTCCATGTTTTTTAATGAGATTTTGAGGAATTTATTCACTTGGGTTCCTTGCTGTAAAGGGCTTTTTGTCTATGCCCTGAGTGTTGCCTCCTCAGCCACATGTGCCTCTGCAGATGCAAGCCCATATCTTCTCTAGAACAAAACCTTTTCTTGAAGTCTCCTGGGCTTCCATTGGTCTATAAACAAATGCACTTAAGACTCATATAAATATGTGGAACCCCAGCCTGAATCCTATTGGTATGTTTCTAAATGAGTATGTAGAAGCTGAATTAGTTGGGAATCTAATTGCACCTTCATGGAAAAGAATTGTGAACTGAACTGGTAAATTTGATTCAAAATTGTGTTATTTGTATCTACTGAGCAACATACAGAGATTGAAAAAAATTGTTTACCTGAATTAAATACAATTTCCTTTATGCTTTTGAAAAGGATCCAGACAAGTTCCAGTTTGGACGTACCAAGATCTTTTTCCGTGCAGGCCAGGTGGCATATCTGGAGAAACTGCGGGCGGATAAGCTTAGAGCTGCCACCATCATAATTCAGAAGACAGTGCGGGCCTGGCTGCAGAGAGCCAAGTACCAGCGGCTGAAGGGGGCTGCAATAGTCATCCAGCGTTATGCCCGCGGGCACCTGGCTCGCAGGTAGGTCCTTGGGGCTGGCTGGGAACTCGTGGGATGTGCTTCTTTGTGCTCGTATCCATGGTCAAGTCAGTCTGCTGTGCCTTGGAAAGAAAATAGTAGGATGCTTTGCATGAAAATGCTGATGCTCCCTCTTTACCTAGAGGTTTTGGCCCTTGCGAAGACAAGATGCGTTTCTGCATGTAGCTACCATGGACGCTATGGGGAAGCTTTGTGTGCCAAAGTCAGGGCTTGTGCCTGGCCTTTTTCTCCAACCTGGCCAGGGACAAATGATCTGAAGTTTTTGCCTGGTGTAATGTCAGAATTAGCTGTATTTCCATCTGCTGAGCCAAGGTAGTTGCAATCGGATGATTAAAGTATTCTGACCCATTTGGGTGTAAGTATGTGGCAGAACTAATATTTTGGGGGGACTACCTCTGGCAAAGAACTTGTGCATCAGTGATGGAGCACTGCATGAACTGGCCTGTGCTCCTACAGAGACCACGTCATGTCTCTGCTGGACCCGAGGAAAGGGCTCAGCATATCTTCTGTGTCCTCTATATGGGGAATCGCTCCAGATCACTGACAATGTGGTTATTTACAGTATAGGTTAATCGAACAAAGAGATGAGCTCTTCATGTCCTGCAATCCCTTCACTAAGGGGCAGTTAAGCAATTAATATCTGCCCTTCAGAAATGCTGCCTCATAATCCCAATTAGCTCCATAATCTTAATTAGCACCTGGGCATGGTGAGATGCTGCCAGCTGAGCTAACATGCCCAGCATGACCCAGTTGCTCCTTAGCTCCTCACACACCGAATGCTGGATTTTTTTTCAATTAATTTGGACAGTGGAAGGTTGCTATTTTCTGTGTTCCTTCAAAGGTGGCATCTTCATTTCCTATAAATCGTAGTGTATTTTGAAAGTATGTAATGGTTTCTAATGGGAAGTGCTTTATGTATTTTGGTAATGACCTCTGGTTTGCTGCAGAGTGGGGCCCATGGGTCACAGATATGTCCTAGTGAGGAGGGGACAAGCTCCCTTGAGCATGGGCAACCAAAGAGGACATTAAAAATGAGATCCCTCTTATGGGGTGAGCTTTTTGCCAGCATGTGGAGAAGGCCAAGGCAGATGTCTTCAGTGCTCATGACTTCAGGAACTGGAAGACGCCCTCGGAGGAGGAATCCTGCTGCCTGGTGTTCCCTATTAATAGCATTTCCTTGGACTTTTTATGGCTGTGGTGTTTCCCTGACGTGACTTTTTGGTTCAGCTCTTCGTGCTGCTTTCACAGAGCAGGTGGCACCTGGATAAACTGCTCTCCTCTTTTTGGAGGCAGAGCATCCCTCCTGCTTCTCATTAGCAAGCTCTGCTTCACTAGGTCGTAAAGAGAAACCACTGGCTTTCGAAAAGGGAACGCATAAGCCAGTCTGATTACTTTTGATGTGATTTTCCCAAAATAAAAAAAACAAAAGCTTAAGCAAATATTTATTTAATGCTTCTTGCTGAGAACAATAAATGCATCATAAGTTCAGAAAAAAGCTAGTTAGCAAATTAATGGGAGGTTTTATGAGTACTTACTAAGCCATGTAACGACAAGTCAAACACGGACTGCGACGAGGAGAAAGGTGGATGGAGTCAGCTGTATCCTGTGTTGTTCTCTGTGTGTGAATCCCCTGGGGCTCTGCTTGTGGACATGGCTGGACCAGGACATGCTGGTTTTAATGTCACATCCATTTGCTGCAGGACTTTCATGGCTGGACTTGCCATGGTGGATACCTCGTGCCTCGCATGCTTTGTAGAGATAGGGGCATTGAGTCCCTAGCCTCTTTTCCCACCCTTAATGCTGGGATGGTCTGTCTGGCAGCTACTTTTGACCAAGTGGGGTTTTTCTCCATGCACTTTAACATCATGATAAAAAGAAGGGGAGATGGGGCTAAGGCTCATTCCTAACCTCTTCCTGGTGCTTTGCAGATTCGCTGAGCACCTGCGGAGAACGCGGGCAGCCACCGTCTTCCAGAAACAATTCCGAATGCTGAGGATCCGGCGAGCTTTTCAGCGCATCCGCAGTGCCACCATCACCATCCAGGCTTTTGCTCGGGGCATGTTTGTCAGGAGGGTTTATCGCGAGGTAGGACCCCACGGAGCAGGGATGAATGGGAAGAGCTAGTTCATCACGGATGTTTTGATGTTTTCCTAATCCAGCCACCTCCAGTGTTTCTGGAGTGCCCACGTTGCCTGCGAGCACTGCCATTTAGAGCTGTGCAAGCACCAGTGATTTTGGCAGCAGCCCCTCTGAGGAGAAGCTAAATGCAGTTCATCATGCAGCTGCCAGCAGGCAATTTAGAAATCTGGAAATGTCATTTACCCGTGCTTGACAAAATTCACCTGGCAAAAAGAATTTGTGTCTGAGCCATGGTACAGGTGCAGCCACCGGTGCAAAGGGAAGGCCGGCAGGGTCTGCTTTGGGAAGCAACAGATTGTTTATTGATATATAGAGCCCTTTTAATCAATTCTCTCTGTTATATACTAGCCCCGCAGATAAAAAAGGTTTGCTGCGCCTGAGTGATACAGGGAGAGATTGTCCCTCTTAGAAAATTGGGAATAGCTTTTTTAAATTTCAAGATATTGCCCTCAAGCCAGGCCCCTGGAATCTGTAAATGTGTAATCCTGGAGCGCATGGATATGGATGTTGGGGCAGGTCCATGCCTGTGGCCAGCCACAGGTGTCCCTTTGGCATCCTCGTCATGCCCAGGAAGCTCTGCTGCGCGATCGGAGGGGGCACCTGGGGTAATATCTCCATCTGCAGGAGTGCCAAGGCTGAGGATAGCAGTGCTGTAAGCTCACCGGAGCTCGCAAACAAAAGATTTGTCAGGAGAAACTGATACGCTGCCTTTTGTGATAAAGTCTGGCCTGAGCTCGTACCAGTAAACTGTCTTTGTAGGTTTTAAATTCCCCTGATATTTCTTCCCTCCCTGTGGCACAGATCAGCATGGGAAAGTTATTAGCAACCTGCTGGTTGCCTCTCTAAAATGTCAGTCTTTAGTTTTAGAGAGGGAATTGGACTGCCACCTCCTGAAAAGGTTACTGGAGATTTGAGGGAGAAATACGATGCCAAAGTGACAGAAGCTTCACGAAACTGGAGGAGGTACAGAAATCCCACCGTGCGGGGGAACTGGCTGCAGACAACGGTGTGAAGCCTGCAGGATCTCATCTGAAGGCTGAGGAGATGACAAGCAAGCCCACAAGGGCAGCATTTATCCTCACTGCAAGCACAGAGCAGTGCTCAAAAAGTCAAACCCTGTTTTGATGCAAGTGGTGCTGAGGCTTTGGTAGGGTGGGCAAAGCGTGCGGGACAGACCGTGCCGGGCTGCCCTCACCTTAAGTGGGGACTCTTCTCCCCTGATTGTCATTTCTCTGCCCCTGCTTCGCAGATGCTCATGGAGCACAAAGCCACCATCCTGCAGAAGTACGTGCGCGCGTGGCTGGGCCCCCCGCTCCTCCTCTGCATCAACCATCGTGCTGCAGTGCTACTACCGGCGCATGAAGGCCCGGCGGCAGCTCAAGGCCCTGAAGATCGAGGCCCGCTCGGTGCAGCACCTGAAGAAGCTCAACATCGGCATGGAGAACAAGGTGGTGCAGCTTCAAAGGAAGATCGACGAGCAGGTACAGCCCGAGCTGCACCGGGAGGTTAAGAAACACTCGCCAGGGTCCAGTTCTGTCCACAAATACCAGTGAGGAAATTCACATTCATCTCTATCCTTCCCTAGCCTGCAAAAGTGGAGTTTAAACTCGAGTTTTCTTTAAGTCAGGGGACATATTTGTAGTGCCAGTTACTAGTAATTACAATTTATCGTTCTGCTTGGAATGTGTCAAGAGCTCTTACACATTGTATGAGATGAAAGCCATCGTATAAGCTGTTTGCTGCCAGGGAAAGTGTGGGGGTGGAACGATAAACAAGAAACAATCTCCAGTTAATGTTGATTT